GTTCTTTGTCATGAAAGCATCTTATTTCTTCATTGATTTTGAATGATAATTTTGCATAGTACATCAATCTGGGTTGGAGGTTGTTTTCTTTTAGGGCTTGAAATACTTCACTCCAATCTCTCCTTGACTTAAGGATTTGAGTGGAAAAGTCTGCTGTGATTCTGATGGGTTTTCCTTTATTTATGATTTTTTTTTCTCTAACAGATTTTAACATTCAATTCTTGTGTTGAATTTCTGGAATTTGACTATTATATGCCTTCATGTAAATTTTTTCTGATTATGGCTAATTAGAGTTCTATATGCCTCACTTATCTGTATGTCAAATTATTTTTTCATGCTTAAGAAGTTTTCTGCCATTACCTGTGAACAGGTTTTTTATGTCCTTTGTGCTATCTTCTGATTTTTTCACCGATTCCTATCAGTCTTATGTTATTCTTCTTTGCATCGTCTAGCAGCTGTTGGGTTGCTTTTTTGTGGTCCCTTGCTATTTTAAAAAAGTCTTCATTTGATGATTGCTAACTGCAAACCTGTCTTCTAGATCTGATGTTCTGTCCTCACATTGGTTGAATCTGCTGCATATACTTTCAATAGAATTTTTAATCTCCTGGATATCTGTTTGAATCATCTGTTTCATGGAATGCAGTTCTTTGCTATGTTGGGCATTCATAGTTTCCATTGCTTTCTTAAGCTCTTCTATTTTTTTAAAAGTCTGTATCTACTCTAGATTCACTAACCATGTCCTTCATTATGGTCATCATCTCTTTAGTCATCTGTGTGACTATTCTGAGTTATTTTTCTCTAGAGCCTCATCTGCTTTCTTCATTCTGCTACCATTTCCGAAATTTCAGCTGGGTGGCTTTTGATTTCTTCTACTTCAATGCCCCCTGGATTTGTCTTGGGTGAACTTGAGGTCAAGGCTGCATCTTGCTTCCATGTCATCTCATTTTCTATTTTTTAAAATTTGTTTTCTGCATTGATGCTTGTAAATTGCTTATAGTATATAGCTTTGTTACTAGTATTGAGAACTCCTTAGAAAATGACTACTTTTCAGAGATGTCTTCTAGGTATAGCTGGGTTTTGGCTTTTGAGTGTGTCCCAAGATCCTGCCTCTTCAATTTATTAGGGATGAGAAATTGCTGCCTATTTGGGATAGCACCTAGTTCTTTGGTGCTGGCCTATGGTATTGTTTATGACCTCCAGACAATCTTGGCATTGGTATATAAGGAAGAACAACTGATCATACCAACTATGTCACCATGGCTAAAATAGTACAATCAGTAATAATAATAGCATCAAGTACAGTCTAGAAAATGACAAACTTTGGTAACTGTTAATTTGCCACCTTAAACCATGGGTATAAGATTTATAGTTATATAGCAAAATCTAGAACAAATCAGAAAATTATATATAATAATTATCCCCTCAATACAGTGATTTTACTCTCAGGGGAGAAAATTTAAAAGGGATAAGAGGAAAAAATAGAAAAATAAAAGAAGAGAAAGATTAGAAGTAAAGCCAAAGGACAAAGGAAGATTACTGAAGGACTGGTGAAGAAAGGAAGGAAAGAGGGAAAAGGCAAAAATAAGGCCTAACAAAACCAAAAAACCCTGAAAAAACAGTGTTTACATTCATGAAACAACAACAATTAAGAAAAAAGGAAAAATAGCAAAGAGAAAAAAATGAGATTTCTGTGTGATTTCAAGCCTGTAGTTATCTTCTGGGGTCTACAGTTTTGTGGTAGTGTCCCTTTAAGGGCGTATCTCTGCTTTCACTGGTAGACAAAGGTGTCAGAGGCCAAATCTATGCTGAATGATCCTAGCAAGCCTGCAGTAGGATTAGGGCAGGGTACTGCATAATCTCAAAAAGCCTGCAGTAGGAATCAGGCAGGATACCTTTTTTAGTGCTTTCAGCTCCACAGAAATTCAGGCTGATCCTGGCCTCTGGTTGTGGGTTGGGGCCTGACTTGTTTAGCCTACAACATTCTGGGTATCTCTTGCCAGCCTGACCTCGGCTCCCTGACCCTGGGTGTCTCCTGAGGTTGTACCTCACCCAGTCACTGAGAGCCCTGAGAGGGAATAAACCCATGACTGCTCTGAGTCCTGGTTCAGTTAGTCCCTCTCTAAAATGGCATCTGGCCAACCTCCCACTCCAGGATAATGCTGAGACTAGGGTCACTCACCAGCTGTTGTAGTTCACAGCATTCACTGTTCTGTTCCACTGGTGCATTTCTCTGTGGAGGCCTCTGGGGTCCCCCACCTTCACTGTGTCCAGATATTCGAGCTGAGCTGGGAGTTAGGGAGAAAGTGTAGTTTGCAACCTCCTTTTTCTGCATTGAGGTCTGCCTCTATGGGCTTCAGTTCTCCCTTCCGATCCTTCCTGGGTCCCGGGGATTCACCTCCCTCCTTTTCTTCCCCAAATTATTATATTCCATTGTCTGCATTCTGAGTCTCAGAGAGGCTGATCCACCACTGCTTACTGCTTCACCATGTCCGGGTAAGGTTTTAGAGGGAACTGTATGCTGGAGGAACAACAATGAGATGTGGATCAAAGCCCACTTTCTCAACTATTGCACAAGTACTCAAAATTCCAGTGTAGGGGGCAGAGTTGGAGCACTCAGGAAGTAAGGAGCTTGAGGCCTAAATAGGGCCTACTTTCCCTACCCTGCTGAGACCAGGCTGGGGGCTAGTCTAAACTACAAGGATTTGAATAGGGAGAATTTGAATGTAAAGAACTGTCCAGTAGGTATCAAAGTGTTACTATGTAACTAACAGAGAGAACTCTGAAACATACAGAGTGGTAAACTCTTAACATATGGTAGCTGTTTGTTAATTAGAAATAATAAGCTTGGCTATTTATTATTGAGGTTGCTAAAACTAAACAGAAGAGACTTCAGTCATCATTTTTGCCACTACATTATTGTACAGTGAAGAAAATGAGGCACAGAAAAAAACAATAGCTGTTCGGAGGTTAAAATCTTGGTCTCTGGAATCAGCCAGACCTGGGTCCCAATCCTTGCATCCATTTCCACTTGCTGGTTAAGTGAGCCTAAGTTAGTTCCTCAGCCTCTCTCAGTTTCACAGTGTAGTGAGGATTGCAGGAATTCACACATTGCCTAGTTCTCAGTAAGTGCTCAGTGCACTTCACAGGAATGACACCATTGTGCTTGGAAAAACAGGAACCCATGAGGGAAGGGGATTGGTTCTTCATGACAGTGACTGTCCCATGGCACAGGCAGTTCGGGTGAGCCTGAGCTCACCATAATGCTATCTAGAGAATACTTGAGACTTTGGCCATGGTGTTACTACTTCTTTGCTTTGCAATATTGAACAAATCACTCTGTAAAGATCATGATACTTGACCTTAAGCCTATTTTCCCAAGTTTTCTGGAAGCTGAATAATGAAACAAGAGTCTCTGGAACCCATTATTCTAGAGTGACCAGGTCCTGGCAGATATTCGGTGTACCACACAATACCAAAGCAAAGCATGCTGTTACTGGAGGTGGGACCTCTGCTTTCAGAATATTGTTGTTATAGTCAACGCTTAATTTTTATGTGCTAACTGGGAAAAATGACAGCGTGAATAAAAGGAGCCAGCTGTTGTTGATTGTTCTTCAGTCTAAAACTTGAGGAGGCATAAGAGACTATATTTTAAACCTCATTATCTCTCACCTGATCTTTCTTTAGTACTGTGAAACTACAGGATGATTCAAAGGCTGCCCAGCTCCACACAAGAGACAGTGTGCCTGAATAGTCCACAAACAAAATAATACTTAAAGCTGCTGTTTGTTTACCATATGCTTCACAGCACGCATTAGGCTCAGCTCTTCACCTATAGTGTCTCATTTTGTCTTTAAGTAACTCTGTGAGGGAGTAAGGTGTGTTATTTATCCATCTGTCTTATGCCTATTGGCTCTCAGGTATAGAAAGTAGAGTGAATCAAACTTCTCAGTTCATTGTACATTCCCATCATTGATCTGTACAAGTCCTTTTTTATATTAATTATTTTGTTTATTCTCTTTTATCCATTTATCATGTGCATTTGCCTGCCTTATAAATTACCAATGTACTGCATGTAGTAACTTTCCTTTGTTTATACTCTTTTGAAATGTATATTACAATTTTGTGTATGTATACTTTTAATTGATATAAAATAGTATTATGTTGTATTTTATTCTGTCTGACTTTTATTAACTTTTTTAATGGAAGCACTGGTTTTAAGGCCTACACACACTACTATGGGTTTATTTAATTGATTGCTTCCAGTTGTGGCATTATACTCCATGGTATGCACCCATCACAGATTCACATTCCCTTCCCTAGAGGTGGACAGCCAGGCTGTGGTGTTATCAGACTTCCTACCACCACAGAGAAGCAATTACATCTCCATTATGTCCCTTTTTAAAAAATATTTTTTAATAGTGCATGGGATTGAACCCAGGGCCTTGTGCATGCTAGGCAAACACTCTGCTTCTGTGCTACATCCCCAGTCCTCCATATGTCTCCTTTATGGATATTCTTTGAAGAATACAGTACAGTGAAGAATGGAATACTTCTAAGCAGTGCCAGAGGTGGGTGCTGTTATTATCCCCATTTTACAGATGAGGAAACCAAGGTGCTTAGAGTTTTAATAACTTCTCAAAGTCACGCAGACAGAAATTAGCAGGGCTATGGTTCAAATTTAGGCACTCTTATTCTGAAATTTCTACCCTTAATGGCTATGTCATCATTATTCTCTGTGTTTGAGACTTGAGGACATTTTCATAAAAAAAAAAATAGAGGTGGGTCGGGGATTTAGCTCAGTGGTTTCGCTGCCTGCTGTGCAAGCACAAGGACCCGAGTTAAATCCCCTTACCAAAACAAAAAAAAAGAGGCAATCTCATTGTACATTTTATATTCTCAGAACCTAGGAATCCAAGTGGACTGACTGGTTTTTGTTGAAGCGCCTACTTTCCCCAAAGAGCTGCATAGCAACCATTTTTCTCTGACTTTCATATCTGCAGCACTGAAAGCCGCATTAGTCATCCAGAACTGGTACCGAGGTTGCAGAGCTTGGCTGAGGGCCAGACAGCAATATGCCCTTGCCATCTTTGAGTCCATTGAATATGCTGATGAACAAAGCCAAATGCAGGTCTGTTTTGCAAGCTTGTCTCTTTTGGATAAAATGTTTCTCTTTACTTCTTGTTATTGAAAGAATGAAAATTTGGGTCAATTTTAAGCTGAGGAACCTTGGATAAAGGTTTTTGTGTTTTCCCTTTTGAGAATTACTTGGCATCGAAGCCAGGGCCTTTGCACTGAGCTAGATCCCCAGTCCTTTTCATTTTTTTTTTTTTTTTTTTGGTACCGGGGATCGAACTCGGGTCCTTGCACTTGCAAGGCAGGCGGCGGAACCACTGAGCTAAATCCCTGGCCCTCATTTTTTATTTTGAGACAGCGTCTCGTGCAGGCTGGGTTCAAACTTGCCATTCTCCTGCCTCAGCCTCCCAGAGTGCTGGGATTACAGGCGTGTGTCACCAAGCCCAGCATGAAAGGCTTTAATAGAAGATGTAGTGACATTGCCTTGGAACAAGCTGTTGAGAGAGTGTGGTTTGGGAAGTGGATGGTGTTTCTCACTTTTGAAGTTCACATTTTTCAGAGGGCTACCAGATGTCTAGTTAACTAATAAAAATAGTCTTATTCTATTTTTGTGTATATGCCCTAGTGAAAAGTAGTTACTTTATAAAGGGAAAAAATACTTTAAGAAGTTAAAAAAATGGAAGAATTTTCACGGAACAAACCTATGAAAGTTCTGGAAGAAAATATACATTAGTGAGAAAGGCCTTTTTAAATCTTGCCACAAAGATTCATAAATCTAGCTTTAATACTTATTAATAAAATGGGAATTTTTTTAACAATACAAAAAGATGCTGGGGCCGGGGATTTAGCTCAGTGGTTCTGCCACCTGACTCGAAAGCGCAAGGTCCTGAGTTCGATTGTCGGTACCAAAAAAAGAAAAAAAAGATCTTGGAAAGAGCTCCAATATAGTTGTTGACGAAAAAAATCACCTTGGTCGCACAGAACATGCCGAATCAGCCCGTTGCAGACAGGCAGGTCAGCACATGCCCTACCAAGGTCCTGAGTCGCACAGAACATGCCGAATCAGCCCACTGCACACAGGAAGGTCTGTGCATGCCCTACCAAGGTCCTGAGTCACGCGGAAGACACCGAATCACCCCGCTGCAGACAGGGAGCCACCTGGTTCCACACTACAAAGACGCAGAGGACACCAGACCACCAGACCAAGGTACTGAGTCCTGCTGTTCCCGGCCCAGAGGTAGGGGCTTCTGAGCCGTCGTCCCTCTGCTCCTGGTCCAGAGGATGGGGCTTCCCGGTCACCATCCCTCCCGCTGCTCCTAGCCCAGAGGAAAGGGCTTTTGGGCCACCTTCTGTCCCGCTGCTCCTGGCCCAGAGGAAGGGGCTTCAGGGCCACCATCCCCCCCACCACTCCCGGCCCAGAGGGCGGGGCTTCTGAGCTGCCATCCCACTGCTCCTGGTCCAGAGGAAGGGGCTTCCTGGCAACCATCCCTCCCACTGCTCCCAGCCCACAGGAAAGGGCTTTTGGGTCACAATCCCTACCGCTGCTCGTGGCCCCTGGCCCACCTCATCCAGCTCAGAGGAGGTAATCTGTGCAGGTGCTAACAGCCCCCTGGCACAGTCGAAATGAGAAAACACGTAAATAAGTCTCAAAACCAGACTTCCAGATCACCTACAGCAACCTCAAGGGGAAATGAAATGGAACACTCTGATACTCAACCACCTGGACCCACTAAACTGGCAACAAAAGGGGATCTCGAAAAAATGAAATCAGAAATAATTTCTCAGATAACAGGAGAAATTGTGCCCCTAGTGCAAGACATGATTAATAAATCTAGA